GTGGTGAATGAAAGACTCCCACAAAAGTCAGCTCCACATACTTTGAATCACAGAACTCAGTTACACCAGCTGACATTAATCCTTTCAGTACAATTAGATGATTTTAACACAGCTAATTGCTGATAAGTACATCATTAACTTGCCACAGAACTGCACACTCTATGTAACGTGTGCGAATACAACTGTTAGATTTTTATCACTGCATAAAGGATCAGTTATGTCAGGTATACTTTTACAACCTGTAAAATACATTGAAAAGACTGTTGGCAGGCAACCAAATGTTTTCCTTCCCTCCTTCCTTTTCCATGTGACATTGTTACTTACATCCAGGGGATATTGTATATTTTCCACCCTACACACCTTACACAACTAACATTGAGAAAAATTAAGTGAGATAAATTAATGCTAAACCACTTCAGTGCGGCATGAAATTTAACACACAAGGTGGAATTACTCTTCCCTCTGATGTAATTGTGTGTCAAACTGGCTCAGTTAGTCGCACTCACACCTCCGAATCAGAAGATTGTGAGTTCAAGCTCCACATCAGGACTTGGAACTCATATAGTGTAAGATGACACTGAGATAAGGTGCTGGGGTGTTGGAGTTGCTAATGTTCAGATGAGACGTTAAACAGGTGAACGTTAAAGATCCCATGATACTATTTGACAAACAAAGGAGTTTCTCCCGTTGTCCTGACCCAAAATCACCAAATAAAATTGTTCATTACTTAATGCTTGTTGGTGGCACATTGCTTGTATAACAATTGGCTGCTGAATTCACTCCACTTATCTTACGAAGTGCTTGGGACGTTCTCCCGACGTGAAAAGTGCTATATCAAATGTAAGGATTATTATTATGCAATTCAATGCACAATGGTGCTCGTCTTATTGGAATGGAATGGAGTTGCAGCAGAATATCTGGAAACTTTGTTTATTTTTGTTCGCCTGCAGGATTGCATTCTGCAAACTAGTACCATTTCTGGCAGCCAAATATCCCAGAGTGTGGTTTATTAGGAAGTTATGAAACTATGGGTAAATATTTATTACATTTATTATATAATTTGGGCACTCCTGTACACACATTGATACATATGTTTCGTAATGGTTTATATAATTTGTACAATATAGATCCATGTTTACACATGGTTTAGACAGCACAGAAAACAAATCCAGCTGTACAATGCAGAAATATATCACTATAGAATAATAATAATCCTCACATTTGGTATAGTGCCTTTCACGTTGGCAGTTCTTTCCTCAATTCACACACATCACATAGTACAAAACACGATATGGTATAGAAACAGGCCATTTGGACTAACTCGTCTGTGTCTGAATCCCTGTTCCTCCTAATCTGCCAACTGTACCCTCTATTCCCTTCTCACTCATATGTGCATGAGGTTTTCTATTAAATACATTGAAGCTGTTTGCTTTGAGCACAGCTTCTTTCTGTCAACAGATTCCACATTTTCACAACCCTGGGTGAAGAAGTTCCTTCTAAAGTCCCTTTGAGAAGTACCACTTTTTGGTCTCACCAACAAGAGGAAACAGCCGATGAACATCCATTTTATTAAATCGTTCAAAATTTTAAACACCTGTATCAGATCTATTTTCAATTGTCTCAACTCTCAAGAGAAAAACTGCAAACCGTCCAATCTTTCTTGCTAGCTGTGTGATTGATTAAAAAATTGAACTTCAATATTTCTTTTCCCACTGGGGTAAATAGTGCTTGGAGAGTTGCTGCAGTGGATCTCTTGTTTTATTGATTGATAATGAAAATGAACCAGGGTATGTCCCAGGATTTCAACTCTGAATTGACAATCAGTGCCAGTTAGAGAAAAATAATAAGGTTAACTTAGTACAATAGAACATTGTTATTATACAGCTTTAACTGGGGCCATAAAATCCTAAACATACTTATAAAGGAGCAGTTGTCAGTCAGCCCTTCCATATCTTAACGTCACCAATCATATAATCGGTGATGTAACAGAATGTGTGCACAAAAAGCTGTCTGGCTCCATCCTATGTCAGATTGTGATGCTGAGCTCCACATCGTGGTCATTGTGCTTCTTGCATTGACGTGCTTCAAATCATGTTGTTGCAGAATGATGTATTTGGACAAAATACAACAGAAAAAGTGTGGTGACCTGCTTAATTTGAGCAAAATGTGCGTTGATGGAGCCGGCCCGCTTACTGAGTGTATTTTAGACTTTACTCGATAACAACTATAAATGTCCAGATCTATACCTCAATTGCACTATAAGCAAACAGTTATACTGAAGTGTGTTATAATGGAGTTCTACCGTAATATGTTAAACAGGTCTCAGAATCTATAAGAGGCACAGGATGCAAGCACAGAAGAGGGAAGATGAACAGTCAGTTGAGATGTGGAATAATTACCAGGAAGGTAGTGGAGCCAGATGGTATCAGCAAATTCAAGAAGGAATGCAATTATGTTTTGGTGGAAAGTGTAGAATTATTTATGTTTTACCTTGAGACCTGCCAGATGGTCTATTCCTTTGCAGTAGCCTCATAAGGTCCATACCCTTCACAGAGAGTCTCAGGGCAGGAATATATTGGGAGGAGGCCTGAAATAATATCAGAAACCACAACAGCTGTTTGTCACATCATCTGAACCAGGAAAGAGTGAATGGGGGAAAGAGGAAAAAGTTATCCTCCTTTATAAATGCCAGGTGCGGTGGCTGAAGCAGAATCCATTTTAGCTTTCAAGAAGGAATTGGGTAGATATCTAAAACGATTCATTTGCAGTGGTAGAGGGAAAAGGCAGATTAACAGGATTGAATGGATAACTCTTGCGGAGAGCCAGCACAGACACAATAGGCTGAATGACCTTCTTCTGCGCTCTAAATTTCTACGGTTCTAAGTAAACTTACCAACTTGGCCATGAGCACGTACAGTGTGAGGTTCCAATTAATGATTCCTTACCTCGATTTTCCATTCTCATCATCAGGCAGTGAAAATTATTTTCATGACAAACAGCAACGGACAAAATACAACACTGCCCCTCCTGCATTCAAGTCATGTGGTGTTCCAAGAGCTAATACTGTATTACACAATTCGATAAGTATCAATGTCAGGATATACTTAAGCACTCGGGAGATGCTCCGCCAACGGCGCTATATAAATGCAAGTTCTTGTTGTTAAAATTGGAAACGTCCAAGTGAATATCACAATATTAACACAGAAGAGGAACTGGGAGTGTAACCATTAAATACTAATAACAATAATCTTTCCACTTGTTATCGCGCCTTTCACATCGGGAGGTCATCTCAAAGAGCTTCCCAGAATACTATAAAGTGGAATGACTTTGTGTTTTCTGGGCAAATGCAGCAGCCAATTTGGGCACACCAATGTCCCACAAACAGACATGAATTGAACAACCAGTTTTATTTTTACTCTGGGGTTCTAATAATTGTAGAAACACTCAATAGCATTCGGTCAATCTTTCTTTCCTTAGCTATGTTTTAATGTCTGAAAATGTACTGAGCAGAACACAGACATTCATGAAAGCAAAGCAGAAGAACACAACAGTAAATAAAAAGAAAGGAAGATACAGCTCTTTATATTAGAATTCAATAGCTAAATGGAATCACCGTAATAAGATCTATCTACAAACCAGAACTAATCTAGGATTTGCACTCATCATAGACACACCTTTGTGTTATCTAAACCATAAAGACCCAACCACCACAGGCCTGACGCATAGAGGAAGGGAGAGTGAACCAAATAAGACAAGTTGCATTTATATATCGCCCTTCACGCGGGGTAGCGTCCCAGAGTGAAAGACTAACAGGGATGACTCTTAAGTTGACGAGCAGGCCTTCAGTGAACTATTCTTGGATAAGCCAAGAACATGACCAAAAAGGCCACCCTTCTCCAATGTTCTTGCCTCCCATAACTGATCTGACAATGCATCCGGAGTTGTATTATTGAGCACTTACAGCCAATTTGCGCAAGGCAAGGTTCCACAAGTGAATAACAATTTTATCTGGAAAGTTATTGTCCAGGACACCAGGAGAAAGTCCCTTCTGTAAGGTTGAATTTAATATTTCTTACAGCTAGGGTGGGTATAATTGCCAGATGGTGAGAGTTAATCAATAATATTTCATTGCTGTTCGTTCGTAAGAAAACAAATTAAAAACATTTTTATTCTTTTGTTGATTCAAAAAAATTATCAGATTTTCCTTCATAAATCTCTTCTCCATTTGCATCTGATACTGTGTGTGCATGAGAAGAGAGCAATGCCAAAGAAGGCAAGGCAACTCAAACCACAAAAAACCCACTAACCTGATACAACTTGTCAACATTAAAAAAACAGCGTAATTGGTACTTGGATTTTGAAAGGAGGAGTTTTAGAATTTACAGATGAGCATAGTTGGGTTTTCTCATACATAAATACCAGCATCTATTGTTTCAAAACACTTCAGCATTGGACACCCCACGATTTCAGAAACTACCCTGTTGGGGATACTATGCAGAAGCAAGGTTGTGGAGACACATTATGCTGGTATGTTGGAACTTCAATTTAGTTCATTAGAGAGGGCAAAACTTTATTGCTTTCTGTCTTACTGCATGCGCCAGTATCATTTTTCATGTGCAGTACCTTATGTGTAATTTATTAATGCCATGTGTAAATAAACTACCAGCATTTTTAGCTGTGGAATAGAAACATGCACTTACATTTATTCTGGCACATTGCTGCCGAGTAAAAGATGAAAGTGTGAAATAACTTTTCAAGCCAAGTGACCTATGCAAGACCTTGTTAGGTATTTTCAAAAGCAAAATTACTTGGAAGCATAGTTTGTTGTTACTACGAAAGAGCAAATGTTTTGTTGTCGATAAGATCTGGCAATAATCTCAACCATTTAAAGGGGTATATTTTTTACTATTCTATGTAATTTTTTTGAATTATATAAAAATAAATGCAATTTACTAATGTTTCCAATTTCCATCAATACTTCACAGAGCTGAACCATAAAGATGGATTCAAAAGAAACTGCTGCACTTCTGGCAATCACGTTATTATCTGTGACCTTAGTCAATGGTCACTATTACAGATACAATGCTGGATCCAATCGAGGCGGTGAGATTTCATTTTGTTATAAAATGTTTACATATGACCACTATGAATTTGTCTAAATTACATAAAAATCAATGGTCAGACAGACAGATAAAGCTGGGCAATCACGATTTGTTACGTTACAACTTTTTAGCTTTTAAATGCATCCTGTTTTTGTCTATTCTTTAAATTCCGCTTAATATTTTCAGACTGTCTCCTAAAAGATGCCAATTTTTAACTAATACAATGGGCAATACATATCTAGATCTCCTACTCTGCGTTGAACCACACAATAGGGTTTGCAAAATAATTTTAATTCTTCACTGATTTACATGAGAAAAAATGCTTTGCAGCATTACCCTGCAAGCCCAAAATAATATATGCAACTCATATGAACTTGCAGCTAAATAATTCCTTGCATAACATGTCCATGCCTTAATATGGTGCTCTTTCCACAGCCATAATAATAATAATAAATAATAATAATCCTTGCATTTGATATAGCACTTTTCACGTCTCAAAGCGCTTCACTGAATAGACTGTAAAGTGAATTGACTGTATATTTGTGGGCGAATATATTAAGATTAAGTTAGCCATATCAATGGTCAGATAGACAGATAAAGCTGGGCAATCACGATTTGTTACGTTACAACTTTTTAGCTTTTAAATGCATCCTGTTTTTGTCTATTCTTTAAATTCCGCTTAATATTTTCAGACTGTCTCCTAAAAGATGCCAATTTTTAACTAATACAATGGGCAATACATATCTAGATCTCCTACTCTGCGTTGAACCACACAATAGGATTTGCAAAATAATTTTAATTCTTCACTGATTTACATGAGAAAAAATGCTTTGCAGCATTACCCTGCAAGCCCAAAATAATATATGCAACTCATATGAACTTGCAGCTAAATAATTCCTTGCATAACATGTCCATGCCTTAATATGGTGCTCTTTCCACAGCCATAATAATAATAATAAATAATAATAATCCTTGCATTTGATATAGCACTTTTCACGTCTCAAAGCGCTTCACTGAATAGACTGTAAAGTGAATTGACTGTATATTTGTGGGCGAATATATTAAGATTAAGTTAGCCATATCAAGAGGCTAGCTTAATTTGAAACATCTCAGAGTATAGAATATATTTTTAAACAATACATAATTTTTATATTGTAATATTTAAGATCACATGTATGGCTATACTTGAATTCAATATTTGTTCAATCAATATTTAGGTAGACTTTTTTTGGTCAGCCGGGTGTCTGATAAATGCGGAATCTCATGACCATGCTTAAGAGTATCCAAACCAAGCTGAGATTTCCATGCATTCCACCTACACATGGAAATCCCAGAGATAGATTGTTGGAATGCACACTTTTGGTAAACTTACTGTGGACTGAGAAAATCACTATGCTGAGAATTTATTAGTTACACAACAAAACTTGGAAAATGATTCTGCACAATGTATTTGAAACAATGGTTGGATATATGTTTGCAATTACATGTTAGATGCTTTTATAAGCATCAGGAGAAATTTAGAGCAAGATGAGACCTGATAGAGCTGCACAAAAATTATGAGGGATTTTGATAGGGTAAATAGGCTATTTCCATATGTGACTAGAGAACAAGTAAGGAGGTAGAAGCAGAAACTATTGTGAGTTTCATGAGGGAAGATGACAAGCCATAAAAAGTCTTTTAAGGGTGTTGGAGATAGAGTGGGTCAGTGAGATTGAATTGACAGCTTGTTCGGAGAGCCAGTGATAGGCCAAATAGTGTCTTTCCACACTGTAAATTTATTTGATTCTAAGGTGTGTGCAATCTATCTAACCGCACTTGTCATAAGAACATAAGAATTAGGAGCAGGAGGAGGCCATTCGGGCCTTCGAGCCTACCCCGCCATTCGATAAGATCATGGCTGATCTTCTGATCTAACTCTAATTACCTGCCCTATCCCCATAGTGGAGTCCTGTAGCTCAGTGGTTAGAGCACTCGCTTTGCAAGCGAGAGACCTGAGTTCAATTCCAGGCAGGGCGAAACCTTGGGCAAGTTTCCTTACTCCACACGCCTAATAATAATCCCTCCAAAACAAAACAAAATAATAAATTGGTCATTTTCAATCCACAACTGTTTGTGGGACATTGCTGTGCGCAATTGGCTGCCACGTTTGCCCACAAATATACAGTCAATTCACTTTACAGTATATTCTGTGAAGCACTTTGGGACGTCTAGAAGACGTGAAAAGCGCTATATCAAATGCAAGGAGTATTATTATTATTAATTATTATTATTATTATCCCCTAATCCCTCTATTTTTAAAAAATCCTTGTCGGATGTCATATGACCAACCCGTGGCTATCCTCCTTGGGGAGAGGTAAGCGAGATATCCTTGGAGCTGAACTGGCTCCAAGGTGACATGTTTGGAATGTCAGAATTGAGCCCTCTGTGGCAGTCTGGTCTGAGCCAGGTGGCTTCACAGTATTCCAGGGTACTGCTGATGACACCCCAGCCAGCCTGGCTCATCAGCAGGAAATGGAAGGGCAGACCAGTCACTGTGAGCAGGGACTCTTCCCACTCCGCTCCTGTTAACCCTGTAAACCAAAGCCCTAAAGGGTATGGTGGTCCAAGCTGAACAAACAGTAGGAAAGCTTGCCAGACAGCGCTTTCGATGGCAAGCTGTGTGGTTTTAGCTGCTTAGACTCCAGCAGTACCCCAACACACACTGCACCCTATACTTTCCAGAATTGGGTAAACAAGATACATCCCTCTAGGGACAGAATGCACATTTCATTTCAACAATTTATCTTTGGAGTTTCCATGTGTAAGTGAATGCATGGAATTCTCAGTTTGGTTTGGATACTCTTAGGCATGGTAATGAGTATGTCAGACACCCGGGTGACCAAAAAAAAGAACAGTAAACAACTTTATATTCTTCATATAAACTACAGCACAACAATCATTCCAACTCTTTCATCACTTTCACCATGCAAATCTCATTTTGTCCATAGTTTTAAAAACTGTTTCTAAAGGAACCTGTGAATAAGTATTAAGAAATGCCAATTCAGTAATCATTGTTGGTGATTATTGTTGGGTGTGACCGGCTTTAGACAGAAGCAACATGAGGTGAAAGAAAATAGACGTTTACATGTGGTTCATTCCTGCTGAGTGAATAACTGGCTTGTACTATTACATTCACTGTCTTGACAGTACAATGGAAATAATTACAAAATTAGATCACAATGAAATCTACAGCAAAGCAAAAGAAATGTCACAGCAATGCAATTCCACGTTACTGAATTTCTGTCAAAGTATGCTTTTTTTTAAAAAGGCAGCAAAATGATGGTCCTACTGCTGCAGCTGCTGTAGGGGGCATTGGTGGTCACTTCTGGAATGCATCTGGCCAGGGTGGGTCAGAGAGGATGTGGCGTTGAGAGTAATAAGCCACAATGTCATTCAATTTTCTTTGGGGATTTTGTGGAGAAATCTTACAAAACGTTCCAACAGGTTCTGCGGTTAAGGCCATAAAGGGATAATTTGTACATGAACTCTGGAAACGGTGGCATTGACTGCCATATTCAGTTTATTTTATCTTATAATTGAACAATTTGATGATGTCTGGAACTGGCATCAATTGTGTCAAGAAGCCAAAGCATCTTCACATGACTGGGATCAAAAGCAAAGGCGAGGATTATTATTTACACCAAACAATGTTCAAGAAACAACAAAGAGCATGGAGCATAAAAAGATCATTTAACTTTCAATCAGCTCCCTTTCCGTCCGGTTCCTAACCAAGGCTGCTTCTCTTTTCCTTCACCACTTTGTCCACTTCGATCCCCATCTCACATACCTTTGTTACCACCACAATGGACATCTCAAATGCTTTCTTTACTGTCCTTAGTTCATCCAAAATTCTGCCTCTCCCATTCTCCACACTAAGCTTCAGTTACCCATTACCCATGTCCTCATCAGATTCCACATCCAGTGCCTGGAATCCATCTTGATTGGCCTGCAGAGGCAAACATTAAGCTTCTGCTTAACTCTGCACCTCCAACTGGTGGAACCATTGCTCAATGGCAAGGGACGTGTGCCCGAGCTGCGGACAGGAAGACAGTGGCAATGCTCTCACCCATTTTATGCTGAGACGTGTTGCCCATCAGGAAGCTCGCAGGGAGTTCCTTGTGCCTCCCATTCACCTAGTCAGGGCTCAAACCCACTCTTGTCGTCGGATGTCAAACAACCAATTAGTGACCATCCTACTTCGGGGAGATGGACTGTGTCTCCTTGGAGCTGGACTGGCTCCAAGATGACATGCCTGGCAACAGAATATCGTAATTGAGATAGCCCTCTGTGGCGATCTCGGTGGTCCGGTTCCTGTGCCAGGCAGGACCGCAGTATTCCAGGGCACTGCTGATGGCAGCACAGCCAGTCTGGCTCATCAGCAGGACCTAGAGGGGCAGACCAGTCACTGGGGCAGGAAATCCTCCCACGCAGCTCCTGTTAACCCTGCAAGCCAAAGCCTTAATTGATAGGGTGGTCCTAGCTGGATAAGTTGCAGGAAATAGCCATATCAATGGCAAATTATGCGGTTTTAGCTGCTTAAGACTCTAGCAGTACTCCAACACACACTCTGTGGTCCCCAAGTCTTGACTCTTGTCAACCAGCACTTAATACTTTACGGAATTGGGTAAGCAGGGTGCATCCCTCCAGGAAGAGAGTGCGCATTCCATTCCAAAATCTGCTGTCGGCTGCACCCCCTCCAGCCCAAAAATGTCAGGTTCTAACATCTCCTAGTGGATTGGCTTCAGGACTTTCACTCTCACCAACAAATCATCCTTGGTCCTCCCATCCCCTGTGGCTTTTTCCAGCCTCAAAGTCCTGCCTTCTCCCTCCACTTGGCTAACTCAGGCCTGCTGCACTTCTTTTAACCCTTCTGACCCACCATCGCTTTCCAAGTCTTCAGCCACTATGCATCTTCTATCTGTAACTCTATCCCTAAATCTCTCCATCATACCACACGTCTCTGTATCTTTCTTGTCATTCAATGTCTGGTACCAGCTCTGTAAAGCTCTTTGAGACGTTACTCTACATGAAAGGCTCTATATAAAACATACATATTTCACACAAGGTATATTTTATTTTTGGTATATTAGATGTACTCAAAAGATGAATCTGTTACTGTCTGCTGGTATAACTGAGTTCTATGATTCAAAGTATGTGAAGCTGACGTTTGTTGGGAGTCTTTCATTCTGGTCATATTAACCTACATGGGTTAATTATGTAATTGGTATCAACAGGTAGTAGTAGTAATAATAATAATCCTCGCATTTTGAGCACCTTATCCTGTAATCATTACATCTCAAAGTGCTTCACAGGGTTTACTGTAAAGTGGATTGACTGTGTATTTTGCGGCTAAAACCGTCGCCAATTGCGCACAGCAATGCCCCATAAACAATCGTGGATTGAATGACCACATTTTTTTATTTGGAGGGATTATTACTTCTGGAAAGCGATCTGCCAATCGGCTAACAACCATGTTGCGAGAGAATGTACAGTGCAGGGCGTGCATTGGAGAAAGATAGACATTGATATAAATACACAGAAATAGAAAAACAAAAGAGTGTGAGAATGGCAGAGCAGATAATGAACAGTCAGTCACCAGATGTTAATCATGCAGATTATCAGCTCTCTGCTGTAAAATAAAACAACTTGCTTTTATATAGCTGCTTAAGCTGCTATGTAGGATAACATCTTGGAGGACTTCACAGGGTGGGGTGAGGGGAAGTGTTACATATCGAGCAAGGAGAGAAAATACACATTGAAACATCACATGCAGAATGTTTGTTTCATGAATTAGAAGCAAATGTCCCAGCAAGCCACTCAATTGTAAGAACGCCGCTTTAGAAAAATTAAATATAAAGGACTGCAGTGAAAAGCACCCCCAACCATTCACTACTCAAACAACCAAGGATAGGTAATAAGTGCGACATCCTCAGATCAGTGTAAAAACATAAGTGCAGCAATGATATTTGACCTTAAATTGTCCTGTTTCCTTCTGGTAAGTTGACTCCAAAACTCTTTTCACCATTTTTATGTTCCCAGCAAAAGAAAATGTTATGTTGCAACCACTACTTTCATTGTTTTACCTTCACGCAATTGTTTTGTAACTGTAGCTGATGGTAAAATAACAATTGAAAGATTAAAAAAAACCTTTGATGGTTTTCCTAAACAGGTGAAAATTCAGACAGCTCAGAAGAGGAACGTAACGTTGCCTACAGAGGTAGGAAATAAGCATGTTCTGTACATACAATGGCATTGTCCATCATTAATTTTAAAGACAACAACTTGCATTTATATAGAACCCTTCATATAGAGCAGTGCTGGCCAAACTACGGGCCATCAAGAAGCAGTCCCCGAACATTCCCCCTAGTCTAGCTAAGTCCGTGTTCAATCAATAGTGTGTTTCCAGGTTTTTATTTGATTGAATATTTGTGGCATAAATCAAGAAATATTCAATCAAGAAAATTTATTTTGTTGGCCGACCAAAAAGATTGTCCATCACTGATATTGAACAACTACTTAAGAGCGCTTTACAGAGACAGTGCTGGAAACCCATCCGGGGGAGGAGGATGTTAATTGGCATTGTCGAAGAGCTAGCTTTTTAGACAATGTTTAAAGACAAATAGAGCAGAGGTTAGGCAGAGGAGTTGAGGGAAAGACATAGTGGTTGAAGGCTTGGCTGCTGACGGTAAAAGCACTGCACTGATATTATTGCAGGACAACAAAATGTTACATGTATTTGTTTTAAAATAATGTCAAAATGTGGTTAAATTTATTTGAAGCTCAAAGTGAAATAAAGATTTTGTTACACTGTGCAAATTTCTTTTGCAAGGCTATCAAGAGAGATAATTCCCTCTAATTTTAAATTCCACCCAAATCAATAACCCATAAAGATGACTTGACATATTGCTTACATTTGATATAGCACTTGTCATTAAAACACCTCAAAGCAATTCACAGGCTATACGATAAATTAACAGGATTTTATGTATATTGTGCAAACAATGTGAGCATACATGTACACTGTGGGTATTACAAGCGCTCTCAATTTTGTAATTAACAACCGGAGAGCATAGGAGCATTATAAATAATAATAATAATAATTTATACATACACATAATTGCCATCTTCTATATATGAGTTTTTTTAAAAAAATCAGGTTTATATTGTGGGTCACTATAAATAAAATAATTGAGAAGTTAAAATTAGTTATACACCTAAGAGGAAGATTTATTTTGGACAGCCGGGTGTCTGACACTTCCGTAAACTCATCACCATGTTTAAGAGTATCCAAATCAAACTCAGAGATCCATGCATCCTAACTACACATTGAAATTTCTGTGTATTGGAATGGAATGCACACTATTTCCCTGGAGGGACACATCCTGTTTACCTGATTCCCGAACATATTAGGCCTAGGTTGATAAGAGCTAAGGCTTGGGGACCACAGAGTGTGTGTTGGAGTACTGCTGAAGTCAAACAAGGTAAACTGCATAGCTTGCCAATCAAAGCACTGTCTGGCAAGCTTTGCTGCTGTTTGTCCAGCTAGGATCACCCAACTAGCTTTGGTTTGCAGGGTTAATGGGAGCTGAGTGGAAAGAGTTCCTGCCCCCACTGACTGGTCTGCCCATCCAGATCCTGCCGATGAAGCCAGGCTGTGCTGTCATCAGCAGTGCCCTGGAAACTGCAAACCCACCTGGGTCAGGAACTGGACTACCAGCATTGCCACAGAGGATTGACTCAATTCCGACATTCCGTTGCCAAGCACATCACCTTGGAGCCAGTTCAGCTACAAGGAGACCCCGATTACATCCCTCCCCAAAGAGTATAGGAGGAAATATTGTTACATCTTGTTTCCTAATCCATAATCTTCATGATTTTTCTCTTAATAGGAGTAGCTCATGGGCGTCAAGGACAACGAGGCCCACGAGGCATGCCAGGCCCACCTGGTCCATCAGGATCCCCAGGAAAACAATGTGTTGGACCACAAGGACAACCTGGTCAGCCTGGAAAACCAGGACAACCGGGAGTCTCTGCTCTGGGAACACCAGGCAATCCTGGACCTCCAGGAAAGTCAGGTGTAAAAGGATCTCCAGGATTAAAAGGTAGTATAGGACCTCCCGGAATGCAAGGATCAATAGGCTATCCAGGCCGTCCAGGCTCTCCTGGCCCAGCTGGTTTACCTTCCACTGGGAAACCCGGTGCGCCAGGACCATCAGGAGCCACAGGAGCAAGAGGACCACCTGGGGAAAAAGGAGATCTAGGGTATCCTGGCCAGCCTGGGTTAAAGGGGGAAAAGGGATTGGGAATTTCAGGACGTCCAGGTGAAAGAGGTCCTTCAGGGCCTCCAGGGAAACATGGCCCCCCAGGAGCAGTGGGATTTGGAAGACCAGGAGCCCCAGGTGGTCCTGGTGCAAAGGGTGAAAAGGGTTCTGTAGGTACACCAGGTCCCTCTGGGTATGTGGGCCCACCAGGTGCACAAGGACCCCCAGGACTACCAGGAATAGGAACATCTGGAGCCGATGGTGCTGCTGGGTTACCAGGACCGCCAGGACCTAAGGGTCCTTTTGGTTCACAAGGTTTGCCAGGAGCACCTGGACTGCCTGGGTTTGGAAAAGCGGGTTTTCCAGGACTTAAAGGAGATCCTGGTGCTCCAGGTCCTGCTGGATATCCTGGAGAGAAAGGAGCGGAAGGAAGACCTGGTACAGGAGGGGTACCCGGAGCGATAGGACCTCCTGGTCAACCAGGATTACAAGGTCTCAGAGGTCTATCAGGCCTACCCGGTGCAATTGGACCAAAAGGTGAAGCAGGACTAAGAGGTGTACAAGGATTCCCAGGAATAAAGGGTGAGCCAGGACCAGGAGGTGCTCCAGGAAAATCAGGAATTTCAGGAGAACAAGGTCTACCAGGTCTAGAAGGATCAAGAGGACTACCTGGTGAAAAGGGTAATATTGGACCTGTTGGACCAATTGGAAAATCAGGTCCACAAGGTGCTCCAGGTCTTCAAGGACCACCGGGATATCCTGGAGAAGGTGGGGCGAGGGGATCTCCTGGATCTCCAGGAGAAAGTGGTCCACCTGGGCCTCAGGGGCCTCCAGGATTCCCTGGGGAAAAGGGAGAACAAGGATTCCCAGGTCTACCTGGGCTACCTGGTTTTGCAGATATCAATTATGAAAAAATACCATCTGGTTTACCTGGACCACCAGGACCAGAGGGTCTCCCAGGCCCACCTGGGCTACCTGGTCTACCAGGCCCACCAGGAGAAACACTAATACAACCAGGGAAATTTGGAACATATGATAGTTACAGCACAGGAGAAGACTACTCATCAGGAATCTTGAAATCAATTCCATCTTTTACAGCCATTCTTTCAGAATCATTTCCATCAGCAGGAAGACCAATAGCATTTAGAAGGATACTATCTAATCAAAACAGTAACTATGATCCATCAACTGGGATATTTACATGTCAAATACCAGGGACCTATCAATTCATATATCATGCACAAGTCAATGGAGGAAATCTCTGGATTGCATTGTACAAAAATGGTGAATCTGTTATGCACACAAAGGATGACTATACCCCAGGCAATATCGACCAAGCCTCAGGAAGTGCAATATTACATCTGTACGAAAATGACCAAGTCTGGTTGCAGTTGCCATCAGAAAATTCCAATGGTTTATACACAAGCAGTGACATGCATTCATCCTTCTCTGGGTTTCTAATTAACACATCGTGATGTGCATCCATTTGGAAAGGTGCACACAAAACATATTTGACTTTGTTCTGATCATACTTTGATTCATCAAAAAGACAACTAGATTAAGAAATATTTGCAGAATAAAATGGTACAACAATTTTACAAAGTCAGGTTAATAAATCTCGACATTCTAAGCAATAAAATGGATTCCAGAGCAGCATATATTTATACCAAAATGATTCCACGTGTTCTATTTGATCTAAAAATGTTACACTTAAGAAAGAAAAAAATGTATTTTTAAAACTATGAATTTATCACAAAGCTTTCTCTGACTGTATAGCACTAAGATGTGTCTTTGCCTATCAGCAAGTTTATAGAAAGTTCATCAAGGCAAGAAATATGCTTTTGGTTACTTTTGGTTGATGTAAGAGTTTTAGAATAAACTCAGTGCCATTCTGACCTCACTCACCAACAACCTAATCTAGCTAAATACTAGAATCCCAAATTCTTTGAATGATCACTATACCTTGCATTATTTCTGTAGATAGAATATAACAATACACAGAAGAAATATGAATTGAATACCTTTAAATATTCTTACTGATAAACAGTGACACATGGGCATTGAATTTGAAGTAGATAGCTAATGAGGACTGGTGATACAAACTATACCTTTCTGAAATAAACTGCAGTATGGCAAACTGAATTTTACATCACGTTGTCTGAAAACGAAATGCAGTCAAAGAAATGAAAACTGTAAAAAACTTTTTTTTTCTTTTAAAACCACTTTCAGCACTAACCTACTTGAAATCAACTTACTTATTTGCAATGTCTAATAAATACTGTATAAAAAATATGAACTGCAGCAATGCTTAGTCTGTACTCAAGTCAATTATAATGCTACTGCTTACTGAAAGTATGGACCAAAACTGTTAAGTTCAACTGCAAATTGCTACCTTCATGAACCTGAGTTGACTGATTAAAAAAATGTTATCCAACTATTGAAGGATGCAGTGCAATGAACTGGATTATTAAGACCCTTTTTGAAACATTTTAGTAGTATTTCAAAGTTTGTATTTTATGTAATTAATAAAATTGTATGATGGTGCTATTTTAAAGGTCACGTGCATTTGTTTATCTGAATTATGAATAATAAGCAGTTTAATGTGAGTGAATTTCTCACATTGGCACAAATTGATATGATCACTCTTGGGTACTGAACACACCGAGTTCTTGATCGATGTACTAACTGGATTAGTTGAAACAGGGAGAATTTAACATGTCACATTGTCTCATAATAAAATGCAGTCAAAGAAATAGAAATCAAAAAATCGCATCTCCCTGAAAAACTCAAGAGGAAGATTTGAAATCCAGACTGTTGTCCAGATACGTATGGAAATGTTCATTGGTCGAGCTGACCACAATTGACAGCTCCCCTCGCCATACACTATTGCTGGCATTTCGATGGTGCTGAAATCCAGTCTTTTCATCCATGTTACAGACCATTTTAAGAGATAATCAATAAGCAGTAACCAAGGAAGTGAAGCACACAGAACGATCAAAAACACTTGCACAGGCTGCTATTCATCTTACCATTTTATCAATTCAACAAACACCCAAAAAGGTCAAAGTTCACCTGTACACACCGTGTGAATGTATATTGAGATTCACATGTCAAAGAGACTATCCATTACTCATGTTAGGATTTTCTGATCAAAAATACAACTTCATCACATCTAGAGTCCCAATTCATGTGGCTAGTGGCTAACATACCGGACAACCCTGCTCTATGTGAAGGCTGCTGTATAAATCCAAGGTATTGTTGTTGTAACTGCTTAGGAAGCATGGGTGATCCACGTGGAAAAATGGGCTCAGAGCTGGTCACAGCTCCAAACAATGAGTCTCAACAGTCTCAACCTGGTCCACTGGATAGGATATTACACAGACTCCTGTTTATAAGCAACCTCATGAAAAGGGTTGCTCCTGTGTAAGCTACAGATAATATTTAACTCAGAAGTTATAAATCACACTCATTGGAACAGGAATGACATGAAGAATCGTCTCCCTAAAAATCTCAGAGGAAGATTTTAAATCCAGACAGTTGTCCAGGTGTATGACGAAGGGTCGTGGACCTGAAACAATGACTCACTTTCCTTTATCCATAGATGCTGCCTGACCTGCTGAGTGTTCCCAGCCACTTTGTTTTTGTCCAGTGTGTGTGTGTGTCTGTCTGTCTGTCTGTATGTATGTATATATGGAAATGCTCCTACTGATAGAAAGGCTGGCAATACCAAGAGGCACTTATTGAAGGGTTTGCAACATTAAAAAGCAGTAACTTGTGCATTTCTTTGTCTCTGTTGAGTTGAGGCTATTTCCTTGGATCCCAGAAATACTCATTCTTAGATCCTCTGCAGATGGCCAGTTTAATTGGAAATTAGGAATAGAAAGCTATATGGCTCATTTGAGCATGCTCCACTGCCTACGTACTACAATATTCCACTCATGCACCTCCCCAACAGATTGCTTCAATGCCTTTACTCACTCTGTATCTATCTCTGTTAAATACACTGATCAACTTCTCATCTATTGCCATTTAGTGCAATCCAGATTCTTATTACAACAACAACTTGCCTTTATATTGCGGCCTTCATGCGGAGTAGCATCTCAGAGCATTTATTACTTTCTGTAAAAAAAAATCTTCATCATCTCAGTCAGAAATTTACTGCTCTGTTCTAATTTTAAGATGAGGACATTATCTTAAGACAGAAGCAAATCTGTTGAAAGCCCCACCTTCTACCCCATATTTTTCAAGATGACAAAATAGTACAAGTAAATATTTGAGTTTCCTTGCTGGCCGATCAACACCCTGTTAGTGTGTTTAGGCAAAATGTTTGCCCTCTGCAAATGAGTTTCTCAAGATTGTCCTGAGAACTTCATTCCGCTGAATCTTGTAGTGAGACCCTGAAGGTGGAAAGCATGACCCTCCTTCACTTTTTCTGCCAACCGTACATCGAATGAAATAAGCATCCACTTTCCCATATAACAACTGGATGTGCGCCTCTCCCCCACCGGCTTCCCGTCTAATGGTTGCTGTGCAGGAATGGTGGTACACCACTTCGATGTGGAATTAGAAGAACCTGCATTCATTATTTCTGGATGTCTCTTGGCCTTTCTTGAAGGGGAGCTTTTGTTTCACTGGTTACACCCTTCATGTTGACCAAACGGCAACAAAACTCTGGAGTGTGGGAATCTGTCTGACACTGAACATGATTAGCTGACCCTTTGGATTGCCAGAGACCGCATAATTGTTTTTTCTGCTGTTTTCAAAAGTAGTCTATATTTGCTTCCCAAACATGTATGTGGTAATCTGAATTCTACAGAACCCACAACATTCTGAGCTATGTCAAGCAACAATCCCTGAGTTTTGTTCTGTTGCATGTACTAAAGGCATCTGGGTTGAGGTGAATGAGTAGGCGTGTTGCCTAGCCAACAGTATTCTTGACCAGACTCCTCTCCTTTAGAGAGATTTGTGAGAGATTTGCGCCCTGGCACATCAATTTGACTGGAATGTTTGTACATAAACTGGCCCAGTGGACTTGGTTTGAGCAGCTGGTGAGACATTTGTTTTCCTAGAAGTGAAAGATAACAACAATGCAGATGTATCCACGGATTTCAAGAAAAGCATTTGTCACAACCAACGCGGCCAAAACTCTCGTCCACGCCTTTGTCACTTCCCGGCTGGACTATTCCAATGTCCTCCTCACTGGTCTCCCCAGTTCCACCATAGACAAAACACAATTAATTAAAAACTCCGCTGCCCAGATACTCACCCGCACAAAACTCTGTAACCCCATCACACCAGTCCTTGCCAGTCTCCAGTGGCCCCAAATTTCCGAATGGATTGATTTCAAGATCCACTCATTCGTTCAAATCCCTTCATACCCTCAAGCGAGGCGAAGGGAATGAGGAAGGGAGTTCCAGAGCCTCGGGGCATAGTGGCTGAAGGCACGGCCGCTGAGGGTGGAGCGTAGGACTCGGGGGACAAGGAGAAGGCCAGACCCAGAGGAATGAAGGCAACGGGCACTGTTTTGAGGAGAGAGGAGGTCAGAGCGTGAGGGGGGGTGCAGAGGAGTGGAGGGATTTGAAGTTGATCCTCTCTGGGATAGGCAGCCAGTGCAGCCTGGCAAGGACTGGGGTGATCGGGGAGCAGAGTTTTGTGCGGGTGAAAATGTGGGCGGCAGAGTTTTGAATAATCTGGATTTTATGGATAGTAGTGGATGGGAGACTGGAGAGGAGGGCGTTAGAATAGTCCAGCCGAGAGGTGACAAAGGCATGGACCAGAGTTTAAGCGGCTTTCGGAGGGAGGTATTGGCAGAGACAGGCGATGCGTCGGAGGTGGAAGAAAGCAGTGCTGGTGTGGGACCGGATGTGGGGGAGGAAGGATAATTGGGGGTCAAACCTGACGCCTAGGTTGTGTACGGATTCAGAGAGTTTTAGGGGGAGTTCGGGTAGGTGGAGGAGGTGAAAGCCGTGAGATTTTAGACGCTGACGAAAGCCAAAGAGGATGGCTTCCGTCTTGTCAACGTTCAGCTGAAGGAAATTTGCGCTCATCCAGCCCCTGAGATCTGACAGGCAGGCTGACAGAACATCAGGGGACTGGGGATCGCAAAGTGAGGTGGAAAACTAAGAGTTGGATGTCGTCCGCGTACATGTGAAAATGTACCCCATGTCTGCGGATGACATCCCCAAGAGGGAGCATGTAGATCAGAAAGAGTAGGGGGCCAAGGATGGATCCTTGGGTACCCCGCAGGTAACCAGGTGAGAGCAGGAGAGAAGCCATTTGTGCAGATGTATTGCTGGCGGTTTGTGAGGTAGGACTCGAACCAGGCGAGTGCGGTCCCACTGAGGTGGATGACGGAGGAAACGCGGTGGAGGATGGCGTGATCGTGGCGGAGAGGTCCAGGGGGGCAAGGAGGCAGAGGGAGCCCTGGTCACAGATAGAGAGGATGTTGTTTGTGATTTTCACAAGCGCAGT